GTTGATCTTTGCCATCTGAGGTTGCCTTTGGCGTTTTATTGAATTACTACAAAAATTCATACTTTTGGTAATAATTAATATAATTTTCATAAAGAAATTCCAACTAAAATATACGAGGTCATTTATTAATGTCTTCTTGATGTCTACTATAAATTCATAAGCCCCCCTCGTATAAGCCACCCAAAAATATTAAAAATAAATAAGCGCCCAGGGGGCTAATTCGAGGATTTACGGTACTTCTGTAATGTAGAAAGGCGCTGGTCCTGAGAGTCATTTGAGGCCTACGCCCTTTACCCTTCTCACATTGTGGCGCCCTAAGTGCCTCCAGCGTCCCTTATTTTAGTAGCAAGGGGGCAGACCTCCATATCAGTCAAAATAATTGCTAATCGAGGCAGCCAATTATTGCTAAAAGAGCAAATGCTGGATCAAAAGTTGCGCCAGCTTCTTGCCTTAATAAGATCCTTGTAAAATGCACATAAATACACTTTAAGAGGACAGCCTTGTTCTGTTGTTCTGTAAATATTCCTAAAATTGTTGTTGGAATTTGATCTTAGCACTCGTGGTTTTCTGGTAGTTCTTGCCACGTCCACGAGGGGGGATCAGTCAGATACTTTTATGTCTAAATTTAGTCATTTGCCACATTTCTCTGCTGGGTTAGTGGAACCACTCCACCCCGCATATTGTGTGTCCTCTGCAGTGCCCATTTGACTAACTGACTATTTTGCTGAGGTTTTGATTTGGCAACATCTGGCTGTTTCTTGATTTAGAGTACAAATGTGTCAGGCAAAGGCCACGGAGCATATTATAGCTTGCAAACACTAGAAACATTTTTTGGGAGTGGGGGGGGGGGGGGGGCTAGTCATGCTAAAAAGAGTAAGCCGACTTTTTTCTTTTTGTACCTTTCAGAAATCAATGAGAGGCTAAGCCATCCTTTAATTTGTCTAATGAAGGTTTCTTTCTTCAACCCCCATAATTGGCAGCGCGAGGACGTGGTTGATGCACAAAATCATAACATCATAACGCTTTACCTATGAATAGCAACAAAACAGACTATGAGCAATACATCACGAAAATTTGAATTTGTGGATACCGCAAATATGAAATTTTGACATTACCTGGAAAAATTATATCATTTTCAAAATATACTCATGATAATAAGGTAATTTTCAGAAGGGGCACCAAGAAATGTGGAAATGTGAATATAAAAATGTTTTGGAAATTGATAAATTTATACCAGACATTAATTCAACCTACGATAATATAGTAAGCAAATAAATTGAGAACCAGAATGAAATGATTTAGTTTTGATAAAACTGGCTTTAAACAAGGAATAAGACATTTTCAGTACATTTTCCTGAATCCTTAAATTATTTCCCATTTATTGATGTCCCTCCCAACAATAACACTTCAATTAGAATTTTGTTTCATTCAATATATGGTAACACCGTAAGAAGCTATGGACATTTATCTACACCAACAAAACTTATTGACAATTCTTGAAGCTTGGTTTGGTGAACTGTTTTTGCTTGAGTTCATAGTGACTTGGTAACCGTAACGCCATTAAAAAGATTGATAAAATGAAGTTTCACGAAAAGAGGCTATAGCACGGATTCCTGTGACTAAAAAGTTTGTTTACAATTTACATCAATTTGGAACCATAAAACCAATATTCATGCGATGCAAACATCACTTATAAACTCTCTTATAACGAACATCGCTTCAACCATCAAAATGTATTTTCAGATTTGAAGAACTAACAAAATTGAAGGCACGAGCAATCTTTCGTGAAGTTATTTTTAAATTTCATAATCAAAATTGAAAAAAAAACCTCTTAGCAAAGTATAATTTAAACTTAAAATTTTGAAATTGAAGTGGAAAGGTAATTATCAAATCAAATACACACTTATTAAAGATTGTTTTTAATTTTAAAATTGCTTGGCTGTTCTGAAGTTCTGAATCTCAATATCGCGAGGCTGGATTGCTTTCAATTTGATCTTAGATTGTCAAAGTTTAAGAATTTTGGATATGCGGCAGAATCTCAGTGCGCAAAATTAATTGCGGTGCATAATGCACAACAGTTTTTGCTAGTTTTTTAATAACATTGGCAAAAGGTATCGTGTCATGAAAATGTTTTTACGGGAAGAGGTGTTTAATATTACATTCTACAGTACCTGAGTCAAAGCTGTTCTTAAGTTGTTTTTAATCTTTTAAAATTGTTAGGCTAAGGTTCTTATGAAAGTTTTCTTATAAAAAACAGTGAATACACTGTTATGAAAATGAAAAGTTTTTAGTTCACAGCGTCACGACAAAAATTATCTTACTAATGCTAGTGATTAATATTTGTTTAGCTTCATTTCTCTGTACGTCCTGGCAGCCACCCCCCACCCCCCCCCCCTAAAGTTCCATATCAAAGTAAACATTATAGCGGCAATTATGAAATGCTCGCAAATTTTTGCGACATTATCTAAAAAGACGGGGTGAAAATTGATGGAACATATGGCAATCAAATCCAATATTATCGATACAAGAACCTTGGTGCAGTTCTCAATAACCATAAGAGTTGCATCATTCTGTTACTCCTAATTTTTCCCTTGTATCTAGCAAACCTTAGATAAAATCCACACAAATGACTGTTCGCTTTTCTACATCCAATCACGTTATTTCACCCGCCAGTGACATGACTTGGCCCTAGAATGGCGTCCGCCAACCCTTTGGTAAGATTCATTCCCTTACGCTTGGAAAACAGAAAATCTATGGACCAACTTAAATTAGAACTACAGCGGTTAAAAAAGTTGTTTTTCTTGTAATACTAGCATGAGCATTTAACACAAACATGAACTTAAGCGTAATGTTGCATTAATTCCATAAACATGCATTGTTTAGAAAGATACCCTTTCTAGAGGAATAATGAATGGTAGGTTTAAAATCTCAATAAGTTGTGAAATGAAATTTCCTGATTCACAGTAAATGCCATCTGTTCCCAGCTTATGCTTACGTGAGCCACAAAAAGCTGTATTCTTGTATGCATAAATTAATTTTTTAGTTAGGACGCTGCCAACAGATAGGAAGAGAGGGGTTTTACTTTAAATAATGTTGACAAAAGTTTCAAAATCAGTATGGTCTGAGCGGTTGACTGCGGCCAAAACAACTGCAACATGAAATACAATTTCGATGATTTTGTATGATGGTTTCGTTTGACTTTGTTATTGCATCGCTTATTTACTGCTTCACAGCTAAATGCTGCGCCAAGAGGTTTTGAAATTTTGTCATAAATGATGGGATTCTGTGACTTGGATAAAATTCAGTCAAAGATACAGTATTTGCAAAAAGATTTGGTTTCCTAGCTTGAACGCAAGTTAAGCTTTTTCAGCTCCAGCCAAATTTCAGCTCAAAAGGAACTTAATTTGAAATAATTCTGTCTGCAAGTAAAGAATACCTTAAAAACTTTTTCATTTAAAATGTCCTCAATAGATCTTTGAATTTCTACAACGTTAACTGATGCTGCCGAGTTTGTGTATCCAGCCAAGCATTTTGGAAAGCAATGCTTCAATTGTAGAACGAAAAATGAATTCTAGTTACAAAGAGAAGCAACTAAATATATATGGACTTTGTTCTGATTCAAAAATTTGCACTTTTGGTCTTTTTAGACTAAATTTTGAGAAGCTAAATTTGTGTTTTTAACAAGCCTTGGAAACATGTGTTTGGATGAAATCCTTTTCAATTTAATTGGGTATGGGGGAGCAGTTAATTTTTGAGTCATGCGGTTGCCTAATCGTCTCACGGTGAAAAACATTTAACGCCTCAAGCACATTTAACTTAGAGAATCTTTTCATAGCTGTGGCATGTGCTAATTGTGCCTCGAATTGTGCTAAGTTTTTCTAAGATGGCGTAGAAGGATAGATTCTGAGTGTTAATTGGGCTTTGTCAAATAAATAATTTGACACCATCTCAAACAGTTAAGAAGTCTCACAACCGTCCTAAACTCACATAAACAATGAAAAAACCATATTTTTGAAACCGAGCACTGAACGCAATCCTAACAACCCCAGTTTTTTAATCAACAAAATAGTTGAAAGTCGCGTGTTTTTGCCACTAATTCGCGAAAGATGCATTCAAAATAGACAGCGTACCTTGTTGTAAGCGGTTCAAATTTTTCCACAGATGTTTGAAATCACTAGAATATTTTGTTTAAAGGATTAGAAAAATCAAATTCTGACAAGTATGCATAGAAACGCTTCCAATTCGGCTGGAACCATGCATATATACAGATCCATTCCCACTAAATGGCGTCTCTCTGTTACAAAACCATTTGCTACAGTAATCAACAAATGAGATGAAAATGTGTAGATTCTTAGAAAGTAGAAATCAGCAATATTTCAAAATTCTGCTGCAATTGTTAAATTCATAGCTCGTTTACAAACACCACCTCTAAAAATTCCACGTAAATACTGTGTACCTCGTGTAAACGTCGAGGAAAACTGCCTTCAACGGTATCAACAGGAATCAAGCATTGAACGATTAATAAAAATTTCGCTGAAAATACGCTGTATCACTGACGATTGCAACGACTATAAAACATTCAATATTAGATTCCTACTTTTATTATCAAGTTATTAAAAGAGTTCTATTCAGAGGAAGTTGTGGTAATAGGCACAAAACTAATTTCAATTTCAGGGCCTCACAAAGCAGGTTTGGTTATTGTCTACCAGGGCATCTAATTTAACCTGCTAACAATAGAATGTGTTTTGGTCATTAATACTTGTTACCACCTTAGGCTAAATTTCAGCCCTTTCTCAAAATAACAACCCTTTCAATTCATTTTTTTATCACTAAAGAGCCTGGCTTCGGAAAGGCCAGGAAATATTTACACTGATTACCTTCAGTGATAAAGTTTGTGCTCACAACACAAATATTTATTGAGTTATTCCTCTGTGTAAAAGGAATTCATACCAGTGATTGCTTGTATTTAAAATTTAAGTAGGAGGAACTAAACAAGCATGTGTTAAAAATCTAAACTATTTTCTATCAAAATAAAACCATTAAAATATCTATTTACAACGATCTATGTGAATGCGCAAAAGGAACCTTGTGGACGGGAAACAATAACAAGCCACAGCCGAGAAAATCCGTTATTCGAAGGGGTTCCTTATGACTTCGGTATTTATTTTGTTATCTGTTAAGACTGAGCTATTTTCCCCAGTTATGTTCGTTTCTTCGTCATTTTCCCCTTCAGAAAATGAAGAACTGTTCTTGAAGTCTGTTTTGTTTTGCTCTTCGCCTTCTGTTATTGTGCAGTCCTCATTGTCATCCACTGATTTTTCTTTTATATTTTGACCTTGATGTGTCCTCATATGCTTCGATAAATGATCACTTCTCATAAAGCGTTTTCCACAGGCATTGCACTGAAATCTCTTTTCCCCGGTATGAGTCCTTCGATGCCTCTGCAGCTCATCCGATCGTGTAAATCTTTTATTACAAAATATCCAGTTGCAAACGAAAGGCCTTTCCCCGCTATGCCAACGTAAATGCGCTCGCAGATGAGAAGTCTTCCCGTATATTTTCCCGCACCCAGGAACGTGGCAAATATGCAATTTTCGAGTTTTACCATCTTTCGTTGCAACAGTTTTGTTATCCCCATCTCTGCAATTCGGGCACGTGCAGGCAATTCTTCGCGGCCTTCTGCCTTCCCGAAAAGGCGGAGCGAAATTATGTTCAGACACACCAGCGATCATGTTTAACGTGTTTACAGAGCTCGAACACAACTCAGTTTCCATGAAATTATTCTGCAAAATAGAAGACTGGATTTGTGGATCAAGTATTTGATTGTTTATATGAGGATTCTGAGAGCAATTATCACATAAGTTATCGCATAAGTTCGAATTCATTGGCAGATTAACGGCGACAGTTTGTGAAGCCATGGCTGTGTTTTCAAGGACAGTAGGCGGAGCACTTCGAAGCCATTTAAAATTAACCTGTTGTTCTTGGGTAGGAAGTGCCTCTTCAAAATGTCCGCCCATCTGCTGATATCCGTCGCGAGTTTGAGAAGGCATTTGAGGACTATTCGAGAAGCAGTTTAGTCTGTTTTGTATCGGTAAATGCGAGAGGGGCTTTATCTCAGTATTTGAACGATACGGAGCGAATGTCTGATACGGGTTAGGCGAGTAGTTTATTTGGCTTGCGCTTAAAGTTATCACAGGAGCTTGCTGAAAAAACTGAGGTGATAATTCTTGAGGCGGAGTTCCATTATTGGAAGGTGATCCGTACATACAGGCTGGCTTCAAAGACAAAGATTGTTCTTGCTCTTGTTTCAAAACCAATCTTTGAGGCGGAGTCGTCATTTGACTGTGCGGAGTGTCATTATTGAAGCGAACTGGGGTGACTGACAGAGGCGATGTTGCAAAATTGCCCTGAATTTGAGCGTGATGGTAAGGGGAGTAATTATTTATATGATGTCGATTCATGACTTGGTATTCGAGTGGGCCTTGGCATGTATTAAATCGTCTCTGTTGTTCACAAACGTCGTTATAATATGGAGGGTTTTGTCCAGCATGTTTGCAAGATGGCAGTTCATGTTCACCCAGCTCAGTGCTTTCCTTGCAGAGATTTCTTTGAAGTTCTGGAGACATTGTGATTGGTAGTAAAAGCTTCTGGTCCTTGGCAATTGCAAATTCGACCCCACTTGATGAACTGTCACTTAGGTCCTTATTTTTTAGTCCTTTCAAAGTCGATCTTCTAGTTGCCCTCCGTAATTCTGGCTGCTCTAAGCTCTGTTCTATTCTGCTACAAGCAGCGGCTAGTAAAGCTAACGGCGATGGCTGTATTTCCTGCGATTAGGGGGCGGGCAAGATTAGAAGAGGGGTGTGAGATATTTCAAGTGTGAAATGATTTAATATCAATTATTTCCCGACGATATACAACGATAAATAATTAACATGCTTACCTTGACTCGATCTTCTGGCTTAAGGAACTTTTCCTCAGTTTCAATCGTGGTTAACAATGTCATGCTCTAAGTGCCAATTTGATCGTGTCGATCGTGCAAGTCTTTAGCACGAAATTTCCTTATTGCTATGGCATATTCTCTGCATGTACCTCGTTTCTAATTGTTCCCGGCCATCAAGCAGCTGCATGGGTTCATTTGCACGTGATTCATATGTAAATGAGGAATCGTTGACCAATCAGCGAGGACCGGACGTGAGTGATTGACAGGCTATTACAACAGCACTGTGCTTGATCACGTAGCGTGTGACCGCAAATGTTGATTCAGTAATGGCGTTTGTCATCGTCTAATTCAACATTCATCTTTTAGCAGAAAAGATGATTATCAAAGAAAAGCAGGTTTTTGTTTCCCCGTCAAGCATTTACAGAAAATCCTTCAATAGACAATGGAGGCGTAATTCCGATTAAGATAAGGTCAGAAGAACGTTGCCTCAATCCGCTAGCCCAAATACATTCATGGTTAAAGCCTTACAGAATTGACCTAATAAACTTGTTTCTGTCGTGAAAACCCTACATCTCCGCCTCCAACCTATTATCTGTTATTTTTACTGCGGATTTGAAGCCGGCCACTTGTCGTCTTCGCAATTCAGGGCCGCGCTTCGTGTTACCATGGTTTTGAGTAAGGCCATAGGTTGGTGGCTTCGTTAGGCCGCAAAAATTATCGAATAATCTTGTCATCGGTGATCAAGACACTTACGCCCAAATTTAACAAATTAAGCCTCTTATTAAACATAAGCTTTACACATAGGAATCTTGTATTTGATAAGGCATATTTATGGGAGTCAAGTATCTTCATGACAGTGAAAATCTGTTTTATTTTTATCAAATGACCAATTAAAAATCTATTAGTGCCCTGCAAAGACCAAAATGTGCCCCAATTCTTTGCGTATTTCGGATTTTACCAACGCGATAACAAGACAGACGATATTATATGGAGACGCACTCAATATTGAAAACAAACTTTCGTACACGACCAATATACAGTTGATGATAAGGCCCGCTGTCAGAAAAACATCATTTGCTTTTCCCTTCCTCGTGATCATGATTATGATTATGCCTATTATGAAGATTCAGTCATGATCACGATGAATCATCGATCATGATCAATCAGAGTCAATAGTCATTCTCATCATCGGCCAGAAATCATAAGTTATCTCGAGTTATCCCTTATCCATTGTGGTTAAAACCCATGTTCTCTTGGTCATAATAATCATCAGAATTCCTTTAACAAATTTGAACAAGAGCGTAATTAAAAGTGGACACTTTGTCCATAGTGGTTACATTAAACAGCCCTAGGCAACACTAGAACCAATAAATCTTTAGCAAGTCAATCGATATCAGTGACCACAAAACACAGAATTATCAGTTGAAATTAACTGTTGTTCGATGAATGTGCCTAGGCCATAGAATTATCGATCGTATAAATCCAGCACTGCCGGTGCCTCGGGCATAATTTATCTTTAAGGGTCGTCGTTTCGCTATTTTCCATCTTTCAGGAACTTAGGTAATAAGAAGAAACTATATTTTATGTTGGAATTTCTATGTTCCTGTAAACACTCCCTCTCATTCAACTAACAACTGATCTAAAAAGTTTAGTCCGAATTGGCTGTTCCAAAATTCAAACTCGTATCTTCTTTTCAAATGTAACTTATTCAACCAAAAAACTTTTCTGTTGACTTGTATTCCAGTTTAACAGGGTCGATTCTTGTTAACAAAGTTTTCTGTAAAGCAAATATGTAGTCATAGGTGCGAAACCAATAGCGAGGGGGCTTGGGGGCTAAAAAAGCTTGTAAATGGTGGAACTGGCGAGAAGACTAAAGAGCGACAATGTTTAGTTAACAGTGGATATGCAACAGATTTGACCTTACAGAGGGATGGGGGAGGGACAAGCAATAACGCTGATTATTTGTTTTGAAAGCGATAGCGATTTCTGCAATATTATTGTCAGAGCATCTTAATTTTTATCATCACGTAAATCTAAAAATTTAAACTGAAACAAATCTATAGGTGCTTTTAGACTGTTTCAACATGCAGATCGAAACTCACAAAAAATCTTATTGTTGGTCAAAATGTTACAACTTTTGTCTTCTTTTGTAAAAATTACGAATCAAAGAAAAATCATAGCATCAAAGTTCTTTCCAAAGTTGATTTTCTAATCTTTTTCGAAAGCAATTTAAAAAATTAAGTTCACTTATTTTTTTAGCAAATTTTATATTCATTCTGATACGCGAAGAGCCACTGCTTTTACATTTTTCCTCATTTCTTATTTCACATATCAGTGTCTAAAAGCTTTGGTTATTTTTCAATAGTCTCTGTGATAAACAATTCGCCAGTCATAATATTCCCTTTATCTATCCAATAGCAGTCTACTATACTTTAGATATATATATTGTTTGAACTACAAGTATTGTTGGGTGCCTAGCACTAAGAATAATTGCTTGTAATCTGCCCATCTGGTGTTTATCTGTATATTTTGTTTGACAGGTAGCTTAAAAGAAGCAAAGAATTTGCTTCAATCGCAACGAAAAGATAGTAATTGAGTAAAGCAAATCGACTTTTAGCAATGGCGGCCTAAATGGGACGATAGTGGGGAGATGCGTCCATCCAGTTCTTGGCAGGATTGGTCTTGTATTTCGTTCAATTTCGATGAGGAAAATGTCTTGGGAGATGTGATTTTTTTGGCAAAATTTTCTTTGTGATGTGATTCTTGATTTTGCCTGAGGTAGCCAGACGTTAGTCATTGGCATTTCTTATTGGCTAAATTTGGGCTTAACGTATGGAAAAAATTGCATGGCCTAAAAGACTTCATTTTACTCCTGGGTTTTAGTTAAGTGTAAAGTTTGGAATACTTATATAATGTAGAATTTTATATACTCGTTGAATCATTGTTTGGTCTTATCGTTTTATTTTTTGTTTGTTTCAAAACATTCAATTTTGAATTGAATTCTAGCGGCATAACATAGATTTTGGTAATAAAAAATTAATTCTTAAATCTGGATTATTCAATTCTCAATTAGATAGAGCTAAGAAGCTCCTATTTCCTTTTTTATTCAGCTAACAACGTTGTGAGAATTTCTTACTTTGTTGCAGCCATTTAATTGAATATTTCAACACAGTGGGGCCGTGGAGGGGGCTCAGGGGGTTCATCACCGCTTGTTAAAATTCAGAGATAATGTTCAGCCCCCCTAAACAAGTGAGTTCATATTTGGTTGGAAGAATTCTGTGTTGGCAACCCTATATAATACTATAGATTTTACAGCCAGAAGGGCTTTGGCACCGAATTTGTAGAATGGCTAGCAGATCAAATCCTCAAGTTTGTAGTAATAAAGGCACTGATTCGAGGGAGAAAACGATTGCAATTAGTGCACAGGACGAGAATCCCCCACGACTAACAATTTTCTGACTTCGCTTTCAATTAAAATTAAAGTATTATTATTTAGTTAAAATTAAAAATGATTGATTTCTTCACTTTCATGAAAGACCCGTATGCTTTCCACTTTTCAAATCAGCTAATCTGGCTGATAAAGTCAGAAAAACCGCTCCCAATCTGGGTGGGCTTGCTGCCGTTTTTGTGGTTTATCTCTCAAGAACAACAGTGACAGTTTATCTGACTTCGAAAGCAATGCACATAGATTCAAGTTGAAATCGAGATATTATTCAAAATGCCAAACAGCTGTTTCTAGGAAATTTACACTAATGCCACTGCCCCCGTGTTTTCTCAATGCTGCAACGAAAACACAGTGATGTGAGATAAAGAATCATGAAGAGGCACACGAAAGTGGGGGGGGGGCTTATGACCCCCCAGTTGCAATCCTTACCAGAGCCCTCCTATTAATAAATTTAAAACTGCCAGAATATCATGATCTTAAGTGCTATACATATTTATCAACAGCTTTAATTCACAATTATCATATCAAACTTGTCTTCGAAAATATAAAGGCTTTTGCAAAAATTCTGAAGGCACATCTTATAGATAGAATGAGAGGTTACATGCCCCTAATGCGTCCCCGGATTCTTTCCTCCATGACAGCACAGATCTTAAATTGTTTTCTCATTCTTTCATGAACTTTCCGCAATTTAGAAGCCACAGGATAAGAGCAACAATACAATATAGGTAACAGCAACCGCAGAGTTAATTCGGAAAATTGGCTGACTTCCACAACTCCACTAGCACAAATAAAAAAACAATAATAAAACTGTAATGGGGGATTTTCCTTGGTGTCTGTTACAATACTTGATAACTGGCGTACGCTAAAAAGCTGGGAAAATACAAGTGCTTCAAGATCTGATATCTTACATTATTTTTTTGATGGGGGTTTCGTATCCACTTCACCGCAGCCATTTTTAAGCAGATCCAGGTCCGTCTTAACGTATTGTCTATGCAACAGAAAAAAACCATTATCCTACTTGTGTGCTATTAGGATTGAAGTGGGAGGAGCTGTAAGTCTTATCAGTTCGATCCAACTGCGATTTAGCAGGACCAACGTATTTTTTCTTTCAAAAGGACGAAATCGCCATTACAAGCTGTGGAGCTAAGCAGTTGAATATTCTATCTCCATTTTAGCATATCAATGGAGTACTGAAAAAAATAAGTTTCCTTGTTAAATAGAAATTCGAGGACACCTAGACTCCAAGTCACCTAGACTGCCAAAAATTCAACAAGCCAATTCGAGGCTAATTGTCATTTTTTGAAAATTTCTTCAATTCTTCAAAGTTCGGATACAATTTACTAGCCAACTAAGGGTGCAAAAGAGTTTGTCCACCAAACAAAATTTTCTCTGCAACTTATCAAGCAACTCTTACTTAAAATTTCATTTTGGAAAATTGAAATGGTTAAAGCTGCACAGATTTATTGCGTTGATGATTTTTACAATAAGAAACAAGATCGTGCGAATTATTCCCAGTTTTATGAGAGGGTAGGCCGAAATCAGGACGTTTTTAGGCGTGATAATTGAGGGAGGGGGCTGTCAAAGATAATTTTTAGACGTCACTACAAATAGCAATGTCAGTAAATATTGTTTTTATTACTCGCAAGTTGCTAATTTAAAACGACATCCCAGAATATCACAGGCATGGCAATTGCAATTATTGGAAGAGACACATAAAGATTGAAAGTTGCTGATTTAGATAGAGACCTCTCACTTATTTCAATATATTTGGCTTGATGCGATACAGATCTCGTTTTATCTCTTTCTCGAACGATTTTGAGTATTTGTCTTGACCCATTATGAATTTGTTACTTGGACACTGTTGTTTTTTAATTGTTATTAACAACTATTAGCGCTGCTAAGATATTACTGTTGATTCTTACAACGTTTATGATGAGAATCTTTTTAAGCGATTCTTGTCTAGAAGAGGTGTAAGTTTGGTTCCAGTTGTGAACATTTTTCGACATTCAATTGCTCATTTCGATGTGACATATAGCCTCGTTTATATAGAGCCCTCGTTTGCAAGATTATGACTGACCTCAGAACAGCAAAGAAAAACAAACATCTGATAGCTGCAACGTCAGCTTTAAGG